GAAAGAAAAGGGGGAAAGAAAGGAGGGAAGGAGAGACAAGAGGAGGAGAAAGGATGGCCTGATAGAATGAGGAAGGGCTGCGTACTGCTAGAACGTGTCATGAAGGAGGATGTGAAGCTAATTGTTTTTCTACTTCTAACACTGCCATGTTTTTTTGCTTTGGTGGTGGACAGTGCATACAAATATATCATGAACATATAAAATCTAATGTGATGCTTGGTAGCTTTCGTTCCAAATGGCTACTTCAGTTGAATAGACATTTATTCTATTCTTTGAATCTGGTTGATTTGGGTGTACGATTCTTTTTTGTAATTTTTAAAATAAAGTTTGAGATTTTTTAAAAAGTAATTAATGGCAAAATGGGGGGAGTGAGTGAGGGAGAAAGGGGTGGAGATATGGCTCAATGGTAGAACTCTTGCCTAGCGTCCATAAGGTCCTAGGTTCAATCTTCAGAAGAAAGAAAACAGGAAAAGTCTCTATGTACCTATGCTGGCTGTGGTAATACACACCTGGAATGCTAGCACTCAGGAGGTGAAGTCAGGACAGTCATGGGTTTGAGGTGGGCCGGGGCTCAAGAAGAGTAAGAAAGAGCAAGTTTTCCTATTACTGACATGCCCAGTGCCCTCTTTACAATGTACAAAAAAACCTGGGGTGGGGAGAGAAGAGAAAAGGGAGGAAGGAAAAAATGAGAGTAGATAGGGGATGAAGGAGTGGAGGAAGAGGCACTTGCCCATTTCTTGGGCAAAAGACAAAAGGTCCTGGTGGTTGATAGACAAAATCAAAGTCATTTATTACTAAACTTTTTTTTTTTTGCCCCAAAGCAAGAGAATTGCTGTAATGGGCAGAGGGTATTCTTGGTTTTGCATTTTGTGGTTGTTGATGTTGCTGTTGTATTGTTGTTGTTTAAAACAGGTCTCATTTGTGGAAAACTATGGTCCTTCGCGAGTGTAAGCTTCTGATCCTGGATGAGGATGAAGTTCAGTCTGAGGTCCCCAGGCAGGGCAGCCCTCGCTGGGCTCTGAGTCGCTGAGAGATTTTGTAGAGCTCCATTGTGGCCCTGGCATCTTCCACAGAGCAGTGGCCCCGCCAGTTGTTCTGCAGACACAGGAAGAGCAGGAGCTAAGGGGGCTTCCTTCCCAGTCCTAGAGCCCCTCAGTCTGTCCGAGTGTCCCTGAGATCCCTAACTCAGATTTGGGAGGGTATCAGCAGATGGCTAGAGCTGGACAGGGTGGGAATAGCAGTACACAAGAGAAAGCAAGCAACTCCAGTGAGCAGTGGGCAAGCAAGACAGCTCAGAGGTAGAAAGGGCATCATCAAGTGGAGACCAGCAATCCTGATCATTCCTACATAGAACATAAGATGGAGGATGTCAAAGCCTGGCAAGCTGCAATCTCCATCCCCACAAGAGGCTGTCAGTACCTGGGAAACATGAGAAGGGCGAGGCACTAAAGCAGAACTCTTTGAGGAGGGGGCAGAGCATGGGGTGGAAGTGGATTCTGTATACTTTCCATTCAGGAAGAAATGACTGCCACCTGCCACCACTGTGCTACTAATCACTTGCCCAATGGAACCTCCCTAACCTCCAAGAGCTACGTCTGATCATCCTCAGTTTTAGAAGTGGTGATACAGGCTTAAACACTGCAGATGTTAGGGAGTGAAAGCTTATGTCCATGAGGCAGGCCAACTCCTACAGCATCTTTCACCCCCTGCGATTTCCAGGCCTGGCTGAAGTCTTGCCTGCAGCCGGATACAGAGGGATCAGCAGCCTGTTCAGACCTGTTTCTCTAATATCCATCTGCTTAGGCGGCCTTCCTTTCCTCCCAAGGGCTCCTTTCCCTCCACCCTCCAGACTAGGGGTTAAGAACACCTGCAAGGAGGCCCAGCTCAGGCAGGCTGCAGCATCCCATCCTATGTTGTAAATAAGCATGTGGCTGTGGTGTCTCCTATATCCCAAGGTGGCTCCAAAGACTTGCCAGGTCACCAATCCTCACTTGCCAGGCAAGGAAACTAAGGGCAGGTTTCTGAAGTCTACTGCTTTGCTCTCTGAGGTGGAAGTTACAGGTGGCTAGAGCATCCTCTGTGTGGGGTGGTGGGGTGTCAGCTGTGAGAAGTGTTTAGTTCTGGCCTTGATCCCAGTTTTAGTCCCCTCTTAGGGCCTCAGGCAAGTCTCCGACCAATCTGTGCCTGTTTCCTCTTCTGTAAAATGACCTGAGTACAACCTGCCTCCGAAGGCATGAAAGTACACCAGTTCCCAATATGCCCAAGGGCTGAGTACAGAGGGCCTTTCCCTCCCTGTGGGGCTCATGCCCTTGAAGGGAGGCATCAGCACCTGACTGTGACAAGCCTGGGCCAGCTCTTGTTGAGGTGATCAGCAAGGTGATTTCCCTCAGGCAGGAGCCGGAGGGCAGGTTCTGAAGGCATCAGTGAGGTGGGAGCAGGTGCGGAGAGTGAACCAGATAACTAAGGCAGATGGGGAACAGAGCCTAAGAGGCCTGCAGACCAGGCTCAAGATTTCCCAGGACAAGGCCTCACTACAGGAAGTAGTGAGGGACGGGTATGCAAATATCCTTGTAAGGTTCCTAACTCACCGGCACACCATATCACTGCATGCCCCCGGGTTACAAGAGAAGCCAGGACCACTATATCCTGGGTCAGGAGACTAACATGCCAGCTAGGTTCAGGCCCACTCCTGCTTCTAAGACAATTCGCACAAATGTGGGATGGGGCTCCATGCCACTAGCCGCTCACCCAGCCAAGTTATCCCCACACACCAGGCTCATGGACCCTCTCCAGCCCTCTCCTTTCCCTCTCTAGACCTCTGTGACTTCAGTCCTGTAAATGGTGGAGGGATTTACTCTCCTATCCTGCAGACCACCATTTTCCCCATCCCCAGGATACTATCCCTCACCCCCATATTTTCAGGTTAGCCTCTGTGGATGAGGATGACTGGAAACTTCTCATCTTCCTGTTCTACCTCCCAAGTGCTAGAATTCAGGCACGTGCAGTGCAGTGCTTGGTTTATATGGTCCTGGGGATTGAACACGGGGCTTTATGCATGCTAGGAGAGCAGTCTACTAACTGAGTTATACCCCCCCACACACTAACTATTGGACAATGCTGGTGGCCTGTCCCTGGGCTACCTCCCATTCAACCAAGAGCTCCTCCTAGACAGGGGCATGGCATGCTCACCTCCAGTGTCTGACACAGAGGAGGTGCTCAGGGAAGAGCTACTGAAGTTGGTCATATACCTGCTGAGACAGATGAATATAAGGCAGCATAGCCAGAGCCTGACTAGGGATGTAGGTCATAGTAGAGTGCTCCCTCTACATGTTATGTTCAAAGCTCTGGGTCTGAATCCCCAGTGCTGAAAAAATTAAAAAACAAAACAAACAAACAAACAAACAAAAACAGCTGAGCAGTGCTGGCACACACCTTTAATCCCAGCCCTCAGGAGGCAGAGGCGGGCAGATCTCTATGAGTTCGAGGCCAACCTGATCTACAGAGAGAGTTCCAGGACAGCCAGGGCTACACAGAGAAACCTTGTCTTGTAAACCAAAACCAAAAGAAAATTGCTGACTAGAAGGGCCCTTATGTAGTGTTTGGCTGTTAGGGTTTGTCCCCACCCACAGCTCTTCTTACTTGGGTGAGGGTGAGTCCTATGTCACATACTGCAGAGGTGGTAGCACCTAGGAACAGCACCGGTTGATCCAGGACAGGAATCCCCAGCTGTCAGGACCCACTATGGCCCATGGGAGGTGCAGGCTTTCCACCACTTCTCTGTGAGGAGGGAGGCTGTTGTGGCATAAACCTTGTGGTACACAGGGTTTAAACCAAGAAGCCTGAACCAGGGACTTTCCCCTCTCCTTCCCTACGGGGAACTCCTGAGATCACCTCACAAAGAGGCTTTTGGAATTCCTTTCCTGGACTCTGGTCTCCTGAAGCCAAAGACACATCACACATGAAAGCATCCAATCTCTCGAGAGTGGAGGAAAGAGTCTTGGGGTCACGCGTCTGCACTGGGGCTCCTCAAGTGTTGGTGTACAGTCCTGGACCCAGCAAGCTGCAAAGGCTCCTTATCTGGAGCCAGCTTAGGCAGGTGGGAGTGGTCTGCCCTTAGGAGGAGTGGGAGCATGGGGAGGAGGGTGAGATCCTCACTTTTAGAAGCAAGAAAGGAGAGGGAGGACTAAGGGAGAAAGGAGAACTCCTTGCTTGAAGGAGGACAGGAAGGGGAAAGAGGAAGAGTATCTGCTCATCTGAGTGGGTGGAGGAAGAGGAAAGGAGAGGAGGGAGAAGAGAGAGACAAGAAGGGTCATGGGGGCCAGGAGGCTCCTCACCTGGATGCTCTTGTGTAGCAGGCGCTTACACAGCAGCCTCAGGGACACGCGGCTGTAGTAGTGCAGCTTGGCCTCATGCCACAGAAGCATGTCTGTGGACGTGTCGTAGATGGTGTATTTGCTCATATCCTCCTTCAGGGCATTGAAGTCATGCTTCAGGTCATGGCCCACCACCAGCTTGCCTTTCAGAAGCTGCAGGATCTGTCCAGGAAGACAGGCGGCCTCACACATGTCCACCCTGGGTGCTCCAGGTGTGGTATCCCCCTTTCCCATAGTCGTGAAGATAGTTGGCGAGTAGCCACTCCTGGGGTTGCTAATTGACCTTGGGCAAATCATCTTCCCTCACGGGAGGGAAGCAAGGTCCAAAGCCCTTCTCAAAGTAGCCTTAGTCTGTGAGGATCCCTACCCTGGACTGCTCCCATGGCTCACGGGATAGGACCTACATGGACAAACAGCACATAGACTACGTCCTTTAATCTTGGCAACTCTGCTGTGGCAGGGCGAATAACCTCCCAAAAGTTATCCAGATCCCTCTGAGGAGAAACTGTGAATACATCCCTGGATTGGGGAGGGGGGTGGAGGTGGGGCTAAGGTATACATGGAACTTAAATTGTTAGCCAGATGATGATATCTAAAAAAGGGAGGTTTTCCACTGGGATTGATTGTAAGTTAGCGGGAACGTTGTAAGATCCAAACCCTAACACTGCGCAGAGAGGATGAGAAAGTTCCAGAACAGATCCCCATTATCACAGGGCTCTTAGTTTTGAAGGCTAGGGATTCTTTGAGGAGAATTTGCGGGCTGTTGGTCATTCTGAATATGAAGGAAGGACTAAGGCCAAGGTGCTCCAGCATCTTCAGAAGCTGGGAAGGAGCCCGAGGAGCCAGCCTTGCAGACCCCTTAACCTTAATCCCATCAGACCCAGGTCGGACTTCTGAAATGAAGAACATTAAGATAATAAATCCACATTGTCTTAACACATTAAGTTGGTGGGTGGGTCTGTTCAGTGACTACAAAAACTGGCCCTGTTAGGAAGGAGGCCCGGACGTACCAGGATTCTACAAAAGAGATCAGTGGAGACACACAGGAGCAAATGATTTTGCCCCAGGTGTCTCTGACCATTTTAGATATTTGCAAATTCCTTCATAGTCCTCTTAAAAACTTAATAACGAAGGCTGGAGTACGGGTCAACTGGCAGAGTGCTTGCCTAGCATTCGAGGACCCGCGTTCTAGCCCATATAAACCGAGCATGATGCAGACGCCTGTAACCTCAGAATTTGGGACACATGGAGGCAGGAGGATCAAAGCCAGCCTGAGCTACATGGAACCCTATCTTAACAGCAAACAAACAAAGGATGGAGAATGGAACTCCCATGGCTGGGGAAACCCTGAAGGAAAGTCATACACAGAGATAAGCCCAGAAAATCCAATACAGCAGGCAAATAAACTTAGACATAACTACTGCCCACTGGCCCTGACATACTGCCCCTCTACCTATCCTTGCCAGACCGCACATGCACAAGCATGGCAAATGTTACTAGTGTTTGGGCCATTTTGGAGGTGTTTCGTTAAGCCTCATCGGGGTACTGGGATTCCCATACGGGGGTTGGGGGGAGGTAGTAGCAGAGCCTGGCCACTTGCCACACAGCTGATGAGCAAGTCTGATCCAGGCTTCTAGCAGCCCAGTGGGAGAATGGACAGCCCTTAGAGTGCTCAGCCCCATGTCCTACATGTCTGGAAGACATAGGCATAAGGATAAAGGGTAAGAACCTTGGGCTTCAGTGGCCCAGAGCACGTAGTCTGGGAACACGATCTCCTTCAGACAAGGAGCCTCTGGCCTCTGAGTCAGAACTAGCTCAACCTCAGAACCTCGTTTCGTAGGCTCACCAGAGCAGTGTGATATAGAAGACAGAGAACACCAGGTGGGACTCAATGTCCCCATCATAAGACCGGAGAGTTGGACCGGATAGACGCTCTGAAAGCAGCTCCGGATGGGAGCTTAAGGTTCTCCTTTGGCAGGAAGCTATCTAGTAGAGGGCTATGATAGGGAGACCCGGGAGTCCTTCCCTCAAAAATGTGAGGAATTTCTCATGGGAGAGTCACAGACCACAGTCCCTAGGAAGGAGCTGAGGAGGAAGGACAAGGTGCCTGCAATCTCTGCTGACTTGACTCCTGGTCCTTCACTTACCTCTAGCCTGGCTTCACCAAATGGTGTGGCCCTCACCATGTGCTGAGGCGTGATCCCGCTGACTTGGGTTCTAAAATCCGTGATCTCTCCCTCAGGCCGGATGTACTTGTCATACAGGACTGCGCCATGGACGTTCACAATGCTGCAGCGGGCGAGGCCACTCACCCTTTGAGGCCGAAGTCCCACCATTTCACAGTCCATGGCTACCACCTCTGGGCTGCCTGCCATGCTCCTAGGCGACCCTCAGAAAGTCCTGGAGGATGGGGGAGTGGGGGTAGGGAAGAACCAGGGTATCAGTCAAGAACCAACAACCCTCCAGGCATCCTAGGCCACCACCCTGCCAAACTACACCCTGAGCCCTGCCCATTATCTCCAGTGCCACCTGGCAACAGAAGCTGGCCTCTTGCCAGCCTTCAGCTTCTCTGTGCTAAGGTCCCAGAGCTTGTTGGTCATGTCTGGCTGTCTCACAGAGAAGCCCCCTCCCATTGCCTCCCAGTTTGGGTGGCTATGTGGTACCTGCTCTCACCTGTCTCAGTGCCCTGGGTTCTCTTCTGCCTCTCTGTTGCCACTTCTCGGCTACTTCAGTCACTTGGGGAAGTGACTCATCTCTAACTCCAGCCTGTTTTAGTTTCAGTTTCTGGTTCATTATCAAGGGAAGATGAGGAGTGGGGGCAGGCCTTATAGGCTGGGCTGTCTCATCTCTTCAAGGTTGACAGGTAAGGGGGCTGGCAGGTTGAGTCAGGGCTGGCTGCGTCAGGCTGTCCCTCCTCTGGCCCTGCCCTCCTCCCTTTCTGATGACGTGTCTGACGTGGACGGAGTGGATTGCAACATCTTTCTTTGCTTTCTCACCCTCCACCCAGAGAATAAACATCTCTGGGATTGGAGCCTGGGGAATGTCCCACAACTTCTGGGACCTGCTGTCAGTGTGCTATTCTGTGAGGTTTTCCTGAGGACAGAGCAAGCTGTTCTTGAGACACTGGTACCATTAACTGGGTGGGCAGCAAGGGGTTTGGGTAGGAGTAGGGGTGTGGAGGAGTCTAGTTCTTGGTGGCTTCTACCAGTTTAGTGCCTCGTTGGGCAGAGACTCTACCTGGGAGTGTTTGACAAAGAACAGCAGATCTTGAGAGGGCCTCAAGTCAGGTTGTTTTCCTATTGGGTTATGGTCTCCTGGGCTGGAACTTAGAATCCTTAGCGTGGTACCTATTATTAGGTCCAAAAGGAAAAAATCCCAAGAATCCTCCAAAAAGGGCAGGCCCACTGACTTTGTCCAAAATGACAATTTCTGGACTATAGGATTTCTGGTGTATAGATCAAAGTTCTCACACGGCATTCCTCAGAAACCTGTCAGGTTTCTGCCTGTCAAAACAGTTCTGTGTTTACATACAACAGCTCACACCAGCCTCCAGGCTCCTTCAGTACCTTTTCACATGTACTCGGTCAGCACTAGTCTCCTGACCCTTCTTACTACTTCCCTGATTCCTCCACTACGCCCGCTCCCAGGCTGGTCCACCTCCCCCTTCTCCCCCACTTTCTTTAAAACCAGCAATATCCCCACCCTACCCCCTGCTTCTCTTGCTATTCTCTTCTCTAGCTCTTCCCTCCTATTGTCTCTGCTCCTGAGATGGCCCTGACCGTGGGCAGGGCAGTCTGCGTCTTTTCCTCTCTGCTCTGGACTCTTCTGGATGCCCCTGGCCTTTCTCTCATAGCTACAATAAAACTCCCCTGAGCCGCCTGTTGCTCACACCAGTCATGCAGGGAACGTTCAGCATTCTTCTAATAAACAAACTGAGGTACACACGGATCAGAAACAGACTCAGCTTCCTAAGAGGAGTTCTAGTAGAACATGTCAGGGGGAGAGTCAAAGGGAGGAAGATACGTGGATCTGCGTTCTGCTTCGGCACTTGGGGAGGCAAAACACAGAGGCGCTAGGGTTCCTTTCTCTCTGCTGGGGGGCCGGGCTTCATGCCACTCAGGGGAGAGGAAATGAAACCTAAGATAGGGGTTCCAGCCCATTTTCTCCAGGTCAGAAACTGGTTCTCAAACACCTGGGCATGGCAACCTAAAAAGTTGAAGAGATTGGGGTGGGAGTTGGGGGGGGCTAAAATGAGCCTGGGGCAGGGAATCCAGCTTAGCTCCAGACCTTCTGCAGGAGACTTAGGCATGGCTTTGTAGGACAAAGGCTTGCCCCCGGGGCAGTGCTTGATGAAGGAAACTGTCATTGCTTGTCCAAACTGTTTATTCATGTAGAATGTTAGGGATGCCTCATCTGCATGTGGAAGGACTTCAGCTGTTGTCCCTAGTGACTGATTGCCACAGTCCTCTCAGTGGAGTGTCAGGGTTAGTGGAAGTAGATTTAAATACCTTCCGTTCTCATATGAGACTTGCTGGGGTTTCTGAATCCGCTCGACCTTACCAGGTTTTCTGTCTGGTGGTACGGCCCACTGCCCCACATAGATAGTCTATATATGCTCAGATCTATGTAGAATAACAGTTCTCAGCCCGACGAGACTTGTGGTTTGGATAAGAACTTCCCAGATGTCTGACTTTAACAGACTTCAAAATCAAAAGTTTGGGTTGAGGGTGTAGTTCAGCTTGGTAGAGTGCTTAACATGCAAGAAGTCCTATGCTCAACGTCCAACACTCTATTAACCAGATGTAGTGTAAGTATGTATATCTGTCTATGTGTGTATCTATGTAACCATGACAACAGCTAATGGGGATTGGAAGATCAAGAGTTTAAAGTCATCCTTAATCATACAGCAAGTTCAAGACTCATCTGGATTACTTTGATACTATGTTGTTTTAAATAAAGCAACTCCCAGGCAGCTGTCATCTGTCCCACTGCCCCTTCCTTCCAGTCTCTTTCACACCTTTTCTGGACTGTGGCTTCTTCTCGTTTAAACCAAAGCTCTAGCTTTGCTCTGGGGCTTTATTTGGTGACTCTTCCCAGGCCCGCAAGTCTCAGATGTCCCCTTCAGACGATGTTAACCATCCATCTCCCCAGGGCCAGGACCAATGACTAGACCCTAGTGGTTCTCAAGCATCCTAATGCTACAACCCCTTAATACAGTTCCTCATGTTGTAGTAACCCCCAACCATACAATTATTTTTGTTGCTACTTCGTAACTGTAATTTTGCTCCTGCTATGAATTGTAGTGTAAATATCTGATATGCAGGATATCTGATATGTGACCCCTGTGAAAGGGTCATTTGACCCCCAAAGGGGTCATGCCCCACAGGCTGAGAAACAGCAGACTAGAGGAACCGGTTAGGTTCCTATCCCAGGCAGGAGTCCTGCCGCAGTGCTATGAAGGTACCTTTCTATATGTTCACGTCTCAGGAACTGCTTTTCTGGGAGAAAAAAAAAAATGTTTACATTCTTACAAAGCCCAAGATTACAACTTGGGGACCAATGAGTTTATTGGGCTTACTTATGGAACAGGCATTTAGAGGCTTCTTACAGAAGCCTGGAAGGATATCAAAAGAAACACACTGGTAAGTCTTCATCCAGTGTGAATGGTGGCATCCCTGTCGCTGCTTAGTGGGAGCCCCAAGCTTCCTCTGCTTATATACTTTACAATGGCCTGAGACCCCAGATCCCATGCAGTTAGGGAAGAACAGCACACAGATGGTTGCGGGAGCAGCCGAAATCTCAGATGAGGACCTGGAGACCCTCCCAGCCATGGCCCCTGGGAGGGGCGATCAATAGTCAACAACCATAACCGTAAACAGACATAGCTGATCCATAAAGATAGAGATTATTTTGCTTGAAGGACAGGATTCTACACGGGCCCGACATTCTGGAAAACTCCCCATCATCATCTGCGTGGCAGCGCCCTCTCCAGGCCTCTCTGTGCAACTGCACCCTGTCCTCTTCTTAATTAGATTATTAACTAATTGACAAGGCAGTCTCCAGCCCTATCCTAATCTATACAACAAGCACAGTCATAAGTACTGTGCATTCCATTTGCTCTCTTGTGGTTCCCCAGAGCTGGGCCTCAGCTCCCAGAACCCAGCCTGAATTATCCTGGACCTGTGTCCAAGTGTACAGTGTGTTCTGTTGGACCCAGGTACTGTTAATTAACAGACCTGAAGGAGGAAGCCCTGACCCCAGCTAGCAGGGCTCCTTTCCAGCTTCACCTGACAGCATCAAACAGCAAGCCAAGCCCACAGGCCTTGATCAGGTGACAACAAGTCACTCAGGGCAAACTTATCAGCCTTCTAAGGACACTCCCATCAGCTGCTCACCCATCATGCCTGTAGCTGACAGGAGGCAGCTACTGGATAGCTTCTTCTAACCCCACCGAGCCTGATTGGATACCGAATGGACAATTCATGCTACGGCTCTGGTATGACTTTGTGTTTCCCAAAGGTCTCTGGTCTAGGGGCTCAGTTCCCAGTGTGGTTGAATCATGAAGTAGGGCCTGGTGGGAGGAATGTGGGGGTGAATGATACACACACACCATTCACTTTCGTGAATGGAAAGTTCTAGGCCTTTGTGAACTGTATTTAGCATTGTGCAAGTGGCTCAGGGTGGTCTCAGTGTCCAGGCCTCTCCCACTTCCTGCCTTGCTGTGGTCCTTTCCACATCATCGACTACAGGGGCCCTCAGCAGAGCCCCAAAGACCAGGACCATGCTTTCCAATCACCACGGCTGTGTTTTATGTCTTAATCAAGCTCCAGCCTCAGGTGTTTTCTTATAGAATACAAAACAGACTTAAACAATTAACTGCATCAGAGGCACGTCTCCCTAGAGACAACCTGTCCAACTGTCAGGGGCAGCCCTGCTCATACACTGAAGGCCTAAAAACAGCCATATGCCTAAAAAAATGAGCAATAGGCCTGACATACATGCCTGCTAAACACAAAGTCTTGGGTCTCTGTGGAAAAACACGGAAACAGATGACTAGAAGCTATTGTAAACAAGCAGCTTTGGTGGAAAATTGCCAGGCTGAATAGTCATAGACCTTGTAAATAGGCAATCTTGGTGGATAGTACCAACTTCAATAAGGACAAGTGAATCATAGGCGGAGTCACAGTGATCTGTCCCCTGAACCTTCACCCAGTTGACACTGTTCTAGAAGATATCTGTACCCCTGAACACCTACGCTCCTTTGTCATCCCCTTCCCCATATCCTGCCTCTATGTGCATATAACCCCTGTGTGAAAAAAATAAAATCAGCCGTTTGATCATCCTAACCTCCCCTTTGTCCCCTATCCTCCAGTTCTCTCTTCCAGGTCTTCTGATCCCAGTTCAATGGCCCGTGGGACTGGGGCACCCTACAAGCTCAGCTGTCTTGAACTGAGGCCAAGGCAGGAGGATCACCACAAATTCCAAGTCGACCTCGGTCATATGATGTGACCCTTCCTCAAAGTAAAAGAGAGATCCTTGTGAACTGTTGATGAGGACGTAAACTGCCACAGCAGCTGTGGGAAAGTGACGGTTGCTTGCCGTGGATGGCATGGTGACAACTGCTGCTTGACAAAGTTCCCCAACCATCGACAGTGCAGATCAGTGAGCACCCTTCTACTTTCGTCTTTGATGATTCTCAGTGTGTTATGGAGGTCCCTTATGCTTCTTCCTTTGGGGAATTCTGTACGAGCTTTGGTAGGGGATGTGAATGTACACAATGGCAGTCTCTAAACAAAAGCATTCCTTGGAGAAACTCTGTGCCACAGTGGAACCATATAGCATAACTCTGCCTACTCCTGCAAAGAACCTTTGTGCCCTTGTTTGCAGCAAGATGGTTCCAGGAACTCTCAGGCACTTACTGCC